CACATAAACCTGTGAAAGGTGCACCATTAGCTACACGAACACACAATGAACATGTGAAAGGTGCGCCATTAGCTACACGAACACACACTAAACCTGTGAAAGGTGCACCATTAGCTACACGAACACACACTAAACATGTGAAAGACTTGACTGAATTACTACAAACAAGATGAAACTCTCAATACAGAAAATATACCTAGAGTATTTGCCCTTGATTTTCGACAGTTTCCCGCCGCTTGTTGCTAGTTGTGCATTTTACAGTCACGTGACAACTGACGTCATAGATGTCAGCTAATGACATCAAAGCGTGGAGCGTGTATGGAAAATTATGATGTGCAGGTCAGAGTATCAAAGTGTTGTAAACTTGTGGACAATGGGTTGCCTTATATTGATGGCATCCCCCATCATGATGCCCAGTGTTTAACTGTTGAAAGACCAGCTCATTATTGTATGTATGTAAACGTCTTCCACAGTTCACGAACTAACTTCCACATTTAACTTGGGCGACGGTCAGTGAAAAGATAAAACAGTTCTAATTGTTCATGACTTGAATTTTTGCAATATTTTTAGCGCAATTTCCATTCTGGAGAATTGCGTTTATTAACCCGTCATTTCTGGATGTATGAATGTATGAATGTATGAATGGATGGATGGATGGATGGATGTGTGTCCGCAGCTTTAAGTCGTATCTCCTCCTCAACGAAGCAATATCGATGACTAGTTCCAAAAGCAATTATGTTAAGCAAGTTACGAGGATGAACATAGGCTATAAAAATTCCGGGTTTCTTTCATGGATTTCCCGGAAAAGCCAAAAAACCTCTTAAAAAAGCAGTTTTTGGCCCATATCTCCGCAACCAGACCACTTAGCGACTTGAAACATGTACCAATCGATTCCTGCCATAATTTAGAACAATATTGCAAAGAAAGTTTTCAAAAATATCCTTTCCTTCGGTCACAAAAATTTTTTTGAATTAATTAAAATTTGGACCGAATTAGTAGGCATTTTATGCAACCACACCACACGCGTCATCACGTTCAATAGCTGCGCCATCACGTTCAATGGCTGCGACGTCACGTTCGGTAGCTGGGCGCGCAATGGTTTTTAGTCACGTTACTCTATTGTAAATAAAACATGTATTTTTACCAATGGTTTTACTAACCCTGCTCTTGATTTACGCTACGACAGAGCTATTTTTAGATAACACAAGGAAATTGCGCTAAAATTGTCACTAGACTTTTTTTAATTACTTGTTTTTTAAACAGACGTGTGTGAACAGAATTCTGAAATCTTTTTCCGGATTTTTTTTTACATCCCTATGAGGGAGGGAGAGGACACTGTTTAAAATATAAATAATCAAGGGTGGACTCCCACCTCCCCTCTCCCGACAAAATCCCGGTGGCCCCCAACAACGGTGCTAAACAAGGCCAATTTGTGCTATGTTCTCAGACAAAGTTGTCGCGTATTCCATTAAGTCGGCGATTACTATCAGACTTTGATGTGGAGCAATGCACAATGAAAATTATAATCTAGAGTTTGGGGTCCTTAATACAATTTCCCGGTCTTTTGGACACAGCCAGTTCATCCTTGTATATGTAGGCATATATATATATATATATATATACATATATATATATATATATATATATATATATATATATATATATATATAGGCCTATATATATATATAGGCCTATATATATATATATATATATATATATGTGTGTGTGTGTATACGTTAATGAGAGAGAGAGAGAGAGAGAGAGAATCCTATTAAGATTGTCAGAATGTTGACCCCAAAAAGCAGACAAAGAAGTTGATAAACTCTACTGCCACTGCAGTGTACTGAGTGCGATGGACACAGTGCAACTTGACATGATGATTGCATGAAGTGTTAGCGGCTATAAACAGGTCTTGATGTGCTTCATTTAGTTGACTGCCACCGCTGACACTGTCACTGACGCTACTAGTATCACTACCTGTGTCACAACCACTGTCACCTCAACAGTCTGTCACTGCCACATACATGATGCGATACATTTAGCAAGGGAACATTTTTTTCTCAACACTAGACATTTAGCAAGGGAACATTTTTTCTCAACACTAGACATTTAGCAAGGGAACACATTTTTCTCATCACTAGACTTAGCACATTTTTTTCAAAACGATTTTACTTTTTGAAAAGAAACACCAAATCGACACTAGAATAAAGCAGATAAAGAGGTTGAACGGTATTTACGGAGGAGGGGGAAGGGGGGTGGTGGGATAAGCGGTTAGCAAAACGGGAGGGATGGGGATTTGCAGATCTATAAATGGGTGGGGCTACACGTAGCGTGATGTCAGTGACAAACGTATGTTGGTTAAAACTGTAAGGTGTGAGACAGGTACACGGGTCGTTGGTGTGAGAGATTGGTTGAACCGATTTAATTATTGAAGTGGACTTTGTTAGATACGTCTTGAGCTAGTGACACGAATTAAATTGGAGAGGCTGAATTATTTCCCTTGTTTAATGAAGTAATGTAACATACAATGTGTTCAAGCGTAGAGGATATAGGCCTACATGAAAAGTTTCCGTGATGCGAAAATTGTGCGAATAATGACAATTTGCAGGACATGTCGCTTTTAGTCACGTTGCATAAATTATTTTAATTTGTGAATACAGGTAAACTTAGTGATACAAACTCGACACGTATAAAATTGTGTTTTGACTAGCTAAGACTTTAAAATTAAAAAAAAAAAATCGTACAGTGTGATTACATAACATGCGGGATTTTCTTCAATAGTGACCTTAGGGTAACTAAAGTTGAATTCAAAGATTAAACTAGTAAGATTAACCCTTAGACGTTCTAAAAAAATTGTCAACGGAAAAAAATAAACTGAAAGCTGTTTAATGGTACAATGTCTGCACAAAAGACTAAAGTGTTGAACATAAGATACAAATATTTCTGGAATTGGATGCTGATCTGGATATTAGTCCTACTTCCTTGTGCTACAGCAGCTACTACCACAACAACAACAACAGCCAACACTGAACTGACAACTACAATACCACCAACAACAAGCACACCGACAACTGCAACCACACAGAAAATAACCACACCGACAACAGCAAGAACACCGACAACTACAATAACACAAACAACAACGACAACACCGACTACCACAACAACACCAACAACAACGACAACACCGACTACAACAACAACGACAACACCAACTACCACAACAACACCAACAACAACGATAACACCGATTACCACAACAATGACATCGACAACACCGACTACAACAACAACACCAACAACAACGACAACACCGACTACCATAACAACGACAACACCAACTACCATAACAACGACAACACCGACTACTTTAACAACACCAACAACAACGACAACAGTGACTACCACAACAACACCGACAACAACGACGAAACTGACACCTTCACCAACAAAAACAAGTACAACAACACCAACAACTTCATCAACACCGACAACTACAACCGCACAGACTACTATAACATCGACAACTACAACAATGCCTACATCTACAACTAAATCAACAGCTATAACAACACCGACAACTACAGAAAAACCAATAACAACGTCAACAACTACAAGTACCCCCACAGCTACAACAACACCAACAACTACAACAGTACGGACAACTATAACAACGCCGATAATGACATCAGCACCTACAACTACAACAACACCAACAACTATCAATACACCCACAACGACAACAACAACAACTACAATCAAACCAACAACCATAACTACACCGACTACTGAAACCACACTGACACCAACAACCTCAACCACATCGACATCAACATCTACAAGCATACCGACAACTGCAACCACACAGACCATAACAACACCGACAACTACAAGAACACCGACAACTACAATAACACAATCAGCAACGACAACACCGACTTCCAAAACAACGACAACACCGGCTACCACAACAACACCAACAACAACGACAACACCGACTACAACAACAACACCAACAACAACGACAACACCGACTACCACAACAACGACAACACCGACTACCATAACAACACCAACAACAACGACGACAGTGACCACGACAACAACACCGACATCAACGACGAAATCAACACCTACTTCAACAGCGACAAGTACGTCAACAACAATAACTGTATCAACACCGACAACTACAACCGCAAAGACTACTATAACATCGAAAACTACAACAACGCCTACATCTACAACTAAATCAACAGCTATAACAACACCGACAACTACAGCAACACCAATAACAACGTCAACAACTACAAGTACCCCCACAACTACAACAACACCAACAAACACATCGACATCAACAAGCACACCGACAACTGCAACCACACAGACAATAACCACACCGACAACTACAAGAACACCGACAACTATAATAACACAAACAACAACGACAACACCGACTACCATAACAACACCAACAACAACGACAACAGCGACTACCACAACACCAACAACAACGACAACACCGACTATAACAACAACGACAACACCGACTACCACAACAACACCAACAACAACGACAACACCGACTACTACAACAACACCAACAACAACGACAACACCGACTATAACAACAACACCAACAACAACGACAACACCGACTACAACAACAACGACAACACCGACTACCACAACAACACCAACAACAACGACAAAACTAATTACAACAACAACGACAACACCGACTACCACAACAACACCAACAACAACGAAAACACCGACTACCACAACAACACCAACAGCAACGACAACACCGACTACAACAACAACAGCAACAACAACGACAACACCGACTATAACAACAACGACAACACCGACTACCACAACAACACCAACAACAACGACAACACCGACTACAACAACAACGACAACACCGACTACCACAACAACACCAACAACAACGACAACACCAACTATAGCAACAACGACAACACCGACTACCACAACAACACCAACAACAACGACAACACCGACTACCACAACAACACCAACAGCAACGACAACACCGACTACCACAACAACAGCAACAACAATGACAACACCGACTATAACAACAACGACAACACCGACTACCACAGCAACACCAACAACAACGACAACACCGACTACCACAACAACACCAACAACAACGACAAAACTAATTACAACAACAACGACAACACCGACTACCACAACAACACCAACAACAACGACAACACCGACTACGACAACAACACCAACAGCAACGACAACACCGACTACCACAACAACAGCAACAACAATGACAACACCGACTATAACAACAACGACAACACCGACTACCACAGCAACACCAACAACAACGACAACACCGACTACCACAACAACACCAACAACAACGACAACACCGACTACCACAACAACAACAACAACAACGACAACACCGAGTACCACAACAACACCAACAACAATGACAACACCGACTATAACAACAACACCAATAACAACGACAACACCGACTTCCACAACACCAACAACAACGACAACACCGGCTACCACAACAACACCAAATACAACACCGACTACCACAACAACACCAACAACAACGACAACACCAACAACAACGACAAAACCGACTACAACAACAACGACAACACCGACTACCATAACAACACCCACAACAACGACAACACCGACTACCACAACAACACCAACAACAACGACAACACCGACTACCACAACAACACCAACAACAACGACAACACCGAGTATAACAACAACGACAACACCGACTACCACAACAACACCAACAACAATGACAACACCGACTACAACAACAAAGACAACACCGACTACCACAACATTACTAACAACAACGACAACACCGACTACCACAACAACACCAACAACAACGACAACACCGACTACAACAACAAAGACAACACCGACTACCACAACAACACCAACAACAACGACAACACCGACTACAACAACAACGACAACACCGACTACCACAACAACACCAACAACAACGACAACACCGTCTACTACAACAACACCAACAACAACAACAAAACCGACTACAACAACAACGACAACACCGACAACACCGACTACCACAACAACACCAACAACAACGACAAGACCGACTAGAACAACAACGACAACACCGACTACCACAACAACACCAACAACAACGACAAAGCCGACTACCACAACAACACCAACAACAAAGACAACACCGACTACAACAACAACGACAACACCGACTACCACAACAACACTAACAACAACGACAACACCAACTACCACAACAACACCAACAACAACGACAAAACCGACTACAACAACAACGACAACACCGACAACCACAACAACACCAACAACAACGACAACACCGACTACCACAGCAACACCAACAACAACGACAACACCGTCTACCACAACAACACCAACAACAACGACAACACCGGCTATCACAACAACACCAACAACAACGACAAAACCGACTACAACAACAACGACAAAACCGACTACCACAACAACACCAACAACAACGACAACACCGACAACCACAACAACACCAACAACAACGACAACACCGGCTACCACAACAACACCAACAACAACGACAACACCGACTACCACAACAACACCAACAACAACGACAACACCGTCTACCACAACAACAACAACGACAAAACCGACTACAACAACAACGACAACACCGACTACCACAACAACACCAACAACAACGACAACAACGACTACCACAACAACACCAACAACAACGACAACACCGGCTACCACAACAACACCAACAACAAGGACAACACCGACTACAACAACCACGACAACACCGACTACCACAACAACACCAACAACAACGACAACACCGACTACCACAACAACACCAACAACAACGACAACACCGGCTACCACAACAACACCAACAACAACGACAAAACCGACTACCACAAACCCGACAACACCGACTACCACAACAACACCAACAACATCGACAACACCGACTACAACAACGACAAGACCGATTACCACAACAACACCAACAACAACGACAACACCGACTACCACAACAACGACAATACCGACTACCACAACAACACCAACAACAACGACAACAGTGACTTCCACAACAACACCGACATCAACGACGAAACTTACACCTTCAACAACAGCGACAAGTACAACAACACCGACAACTACATCAACACCGATAACAACAACCGCACAGACAACAATAACACAAACAACAAAAACAATACCGACAACTGCAACAACACCCAGAACGACAACACCAACATCAACACCAACAACAACAACAACACAGACAAGTACACCAACAACGACAATTACAACCACACAGACTACTATAACAACGACAACTACAACAACGTCTACATCTACAACTAAATCAACAACATTAACAACACCGACAACTATATCAACACCAACAACAACGTCAACAACTACAACTACACCCACAACTACAGCAACACCAACAACTTCAACAGTACGGACAACTACAACAACGCCGATAATGACATCAGCACCGACAACTACAACAGCACCAACAACTATCAATACACCCACAACGACAACAGCAACAACTACAATCAAACCATCAACTATATCTACACCGACAACTGCAACCACACCGACACCAAGAACCACATCGACACCAACAAGCACACCAACAACTGCAACTACACAGACAACTACACCGACAACGACAACAGCAACATCAACACCAACAACTACATCAACACCTACAATTACAACTGCACAGACTACTCTAACACCGACAACTACAACAACGTCTACATCTACAACTAAATCAACAACCATAACAACACCGACAACTACATCAACACCAACAACAACATCAACAACTACAACTACACCCACAACCACAACAACACCAACAACTACAATAGTACGGACAACTATAACAACGCCGATAATGACATCAGCACCGACAACTACAATAACACCAACAACTATCAATACAACTGCAACCACACCGACACCAACAACCACATCGACACCAACAAGCACACCGACAACTGCTACCACACAAACTACAACACCGACAACTACAAAAACACCGACAAGTACAACAACACCGACAACTACATCACCACCGACAGCAACAACCGCACAGACTACTACAATAACGCAAACAACGTCAACAACACAGACAACTTCAACAACACAAATAACTAAAACAACACCGACAACAACACCGACAACAACGTCAACAACTATAACTACCCCAACAACATCAACAACACCAACAGCTACAACAACTGCAACTACTACTACAACACCGATATCAACGATGAAACCGACAACAACAACAACACCGCCAGCAACAACACTCACAATTATAACAACAGCAACAACTTCTGCAACAACACCAATAACTACAACGCCGACGATAACAAGCACACCTACAAGTACATCAACACCGACAAGTACAACAACACCGACAAGTACATCAACCACCACAACATCCAACCCAACAACCATAACCAGTGCACCAATCACAATAATCACCATCCCACCTACATCAGTCACACCCTCAGACATTGCTCTCAACTATAGTAAGTAAAAAAAAAATTGTGTGTTTAATTTTTTTTTATCTGATCATTTTAACTCGTTTATATTATCTCATTTTTTTTACAAAAAGCACTTGATGATTGCCCCTCGTTAGCTGACTTGAGGATTTTAAAACTAACCTGTTTTAAACTTTTTCATACAGCACACAGTTTCGTCCCCGTGGAGTTCTTTCTACGTTTTAACGAGTCGTTCGAAGAATCGTTCTACAACCAGTCCTCAGCCATGTTCCAGAACAAATCCAGTTCATACAGAGCACAGGTTAGACGTCGACTGAAATGTTCCCATTGCACACATTTTGATTCAGGTGGAATTGTAACATAGTATACACATTATTATTCCGTGTCTGGCTGCAAAAAATGAGATATCTGAGTCACATATAATTCAAATTTAATAAGAGGATTAAAGATACAGAATTATGAATGATTTTTAATACGCTTCGTAAATAGAATTCATTTTAAATAAACAAATATTCATCCAACTTGAACAAATAAACAAATAGACACGACCTCTCAAACCTCTCATTTATGAAACAGTTTATACCACCTCGACCGTAACTAAACAGCCCAATGATAATTTTAATCTAGAAATAACAATTTTTATCTTCCAGTTATTAACACATGGGTGTAATAATTTGACTGTTTTTTACTTGACAGTTGCTGCGAGCCTACAACAACACCAATGTCTTGTTTACAGACATCACAATCATCAGTTTACTGTGAGTTTGTAAACATTTTTAATTGTCAACAAAATTTTACTTCTCAACACTTTACAGTAACGTACTTGTGTTACTTGTCATCACTTTCAGTGTTTCTTCCAGACTTTTTTCTCCGGGGGGGTACTTGAAATTTTCGGGGGGGGGGGGGGGGGGGGCGGTAAACTTTCTTCGGGGGGGGGGGGGGGGCGGACACTGTTAAAAGTATATATTTTCTATATAAATTATATAAATTTCATTTCGTTCGGGGGGTGGGGGCGGTAAAAAAATTTCGGGGGGCAAAGCCCCCCCGAAGAGATGCCTGGAAGAAACTCTGATCACTTTACAGTAATTTTACTTGTCAACAATCTATTCTATTCCCTCCCGCCATGTAATATTCGACATTAATATCAAACCACGCTTAAAATCTTAACCATTAGCTTAAAATATGTTAAATATGTTGAAATATCTTAAGTAATGTTTAACTCCATATTTTACACCTTTTTAACATGTATTGCATTTATCTGCCCTCATTTATGTGAGTCGGATAGTTTTTCTGTTTACTATTAGAGATACATCTCAATAAACTGTATGGCTGCCTAGCACAAATACATTGGCCAGGTCTCGCTTGAACACTGAACAATCAAACCAACTCACAATAGCTTTGTCTAGACGTCAACCAACTCACAATAGCTTTGTCAAGACGTCAAACCAACTCACAATAGCTTTGTCTAGACGTCAAACCAACTCACAATAGCTGTGTCTACAAGTCAAAACATCACAGTCTAGATATTTAACAACTTACACAAATTAGAACAAAAAATCAGGATACTGAAACACATACTATGATACTAATTATGTCACTCTTGCATAACTACAAATTAAGTTACGCATCGCACTTCATAACGAAACAAAATTATCGAAAATTAAATTTAAATAAGGATATCTAAATCCTTCTGAAAATTACATTATTTGAAAAAGTAATTAACTTCATTTTTCAACCAAAAAGCTTTAACTTATCCTTAAATTATTCTATTAATAATAATTATATATCTCCTTGTAATTATAAGCAACATTTATTCTCACTATTCCAGTTGTATTGTTGTGGTACCTCTAAATGAAGTCTAATATTAATCTCTCACCGTTCATTTAAAAGTGGAACCAAAATTTCATTATATATTTACCTCTATTTCTTTGCCAACTAAACACTGTTTACCTACCACCTTTAACTGACCACTACCCATCTACCACCATTAACTGACCACTACCGACTACCACCATTAACTGACCACTATCGACCTACCACCATTAACTGACCACTACCGACCTACCACCATTAACTGACCACTACCGACTACCACCATTAACTGACCACTATCGACCTACCACCATTAACTGACCACTACCGACTACCACCTTTAACTGACCACTACCGACTACCACCATTAACTGACCACTACCGACCTACCACCATTAACTGACCACTATTGATCTACCACCATTAACTGACCACTATCGACCTACCACCATTAACTGACCACTATCGACTACCACCATTAGCTGACCACTGTTGACTAACCTTCATGTTACAGCCCTGGCAGTGTGATAGTGGACTACAGCCTCAGACTCAAAGCTTTCCGGGCCAAAAACGTCCTGACCAACAGCAGTAGCGTGTTCACCTCCCTCATGCAGGCACGTGACCAGCTCGCGACCCTCAAGGACATTGACCCCGTGTATATGGACTACACGTACAACACCAGTGTGGCCAAAGGTGAGGAGGGGATGGATGCCATTAATACACACAAGGGACGTAACTCGTCGTACTTACTCTTTAGTTTTTAATTTAATTGTTACCTCCCGTGACAGTTTAAAAAATTGAAAACACTTGATTAATCAGTAAGCAACAGTCGGTATCTCGGAAAGTTCTATCTAAACATTAAAGCTGTTAGGTTTCTCTAAGTTGAGGGCTAAGATCTATATAATAAAATATCCTAATAATTATATGAAAGGCCCATATACTCAATATGTCAAATATTGTCCTATACTCCAACATTTTTTTGGGTTGTTTTTGTTTTGTTTGTTTGTTTTTTTGCTGGAATTTTCACAGAATCTTATCAAATCTTGGACTTTGATGTTTTATTATTTTATGCATGTTTATAACCACGTCTTGTTAGAAAGTACCAAGTCAAGAAAAAGGTTTTACATGACAAAAAATTACACCTCCAACTTGACTGTTGCAGCCTACCAGAGCATCAGAGAACTGGAATCTGACCCGTGCCTGGCCGACCTGGTCTGCCCTCCCACCTACACCTGCAACAGACAGCTGCTCGTGTGTAGACACAAGTGCAGGGACTACCCGTGTCCAGCTAACGGCCAGTGCTACATCAACTCACAGAACGAGCCCAACTGTAGGTCAGTACCCCGCAAACAACGATTAAAGCAACACAGTGGTGTGTGGTTGTTTAAAGCAACACAGTGGTGTGTGGTTGTTTAAAGCAATACAGTGGCGTGTGGTTGTTTAAAGCAACACAGTGGCGTGTGGTTGTTTAAAGCGACACAGTGGTGTGTGGTTGTTTAAAGCAATACAAAGGCGTGTGGTTGTTTAAAGCAACACAGTGGTGTGTGGTTGTTTAAAGCAATACAGTGGCGTGTGGTTGTTTAAAGCAACACAGTGGCGTGTGGTTGTTTAAAGCGACACAGTGGTGTGTGGTTGTTTAAAGCAATACAAAGGCGTGTGGTTGTTTAAAGCAACACAGTGGCGTGTGGTTGTTTAAAGCAACACGGTGGTGTGTGATTGTTTAAAGCAACACAGTGGAGTGTGGTTGTTTAAACCAACACAGTGGTGTGTGGTTGTTTAAAGCAACACAGTGGCAGGGGCGGAACTACAGTGCCGCCAGACCCCGCAATGCGGGGGGGGGGGGGCCCCAGACCAATTGGGGGCCCAAAAATCCTGGCTAAATTATTTAAAAAAAATTAAAAAAATAAAAAAATTAGGTGGAGGTCGAGTTATCTTTCTTCTACAGTTACAAAACAAACACGATAGTCGGTAAACGCCTTTGAGAAAAACGCACTGACTATAGCTCGAGAGACCGCCAGACATATAGACAACTTCAAAGACGAAGCATCTGAAATTTGACTGTGCCGGTACGCTATGAAATCGGGCTGGGGAAATGTTGCGGCGAGGCGACTATCCTGGTCTTCTAGACGATCGGAAAAAGTCGGCACTATTGATGTAGATGTTTATCGGCGCTTTCTTGTCCCCTTCCCTTCCCAACTCTCCCCCCCCCCCCTCCCCCCTACCCCTCACTTCTACCCCTCACCACACCCTTACTCTTACAATAAGATGTAATGCATAGATTAACGAACCGTCTATGAACTGTAAACTGACCACTTCTGCACATTTTGTTAAAGACACTAGTCAGTAGTTGTTCATTTACCTGATGAACAGGGGCGGAACTACAGTCCCGCCAGACCCCGCAATGCGCGGGGGGGGGGGGGGGGGGAGGCCGTTCAGAGGCCCACGGCTGACCAAAATTTTTTTTTTTTAATTTTGAATTTAATTTTTGCCTTAATATTTGGTTTGTAAAAGAAAAACACTGTAGCTGCGGTACGATTATCTTTATTTTACAGTCACTATACCACGCTCTTCCGCAAAAGATAAAATCCATTACACAAACTACAGTGTAAAATATAGGCAACTCTTCAAATTTTGAATGACTTCTTTGACTCGTTGCCCCCCCCCCTTTGATAGCTAAATAGAGGACACGTAACTGTTTGACCGATCCTCCAAAGTATACTGTGGCGGATGGGGCAGGGGATGTGGACCAAAAAGGGGGTTAAAAAATTGTCGACAAATTCTTTACATATTTAAAACAGTTATTTATAGTTGTATTTTTTAACCATCGTCAAGGCCGAGTTCTATTTCCCTACAATCAAACACACGCTGTCGCCGGCAAAATTCTTTTTAAAAAAAACAACAAAGTCCATAGCACGAATAGCCGCTACATATGAAGTGGGCTTTCAATACTTTCATGATGCGCGGTTCTTATTTGCGGCATTGGTAGGGGACCCGAAATCCATTGTACATTTTCCAATGTTAATATGTGTTTGTGATAGTGGTTGAATTTGTATCCTGTACTATCTTGTATCGTACAAATAATTTTTAAAAAATAATAGAATACTAGAAACTTCAGTTTTATATACGTTTACTTGTTTTTGATTTTACAAGAAATCTAGTAAACTTTTAAGGCCTATACTTCAAATTATCTCCCCTGAGTAAGTTTTACAATGGGCGATGCTGGCGTACATAGATCAAGGCGTTTTGTTGTCCCTTTCAACTTTTTTTCCCGAGCCGACCCCTATCCCATCCCTCTTTCTCAACCTCACAAGTATCGAGGAGATAAATGTATCGTTTATGAACTACTTCCTAACCGTACGATTCACCACTTCAGCACATTTTGTCAGACACTAGACAGCACTAGATCTAGTCAACACATATTAATTTACTTTCATAGTATTAGGCACATCTAATTCACAAAACAGGGCAGGTAAGATTATTTTTTATATAATTATTTAGAAATTAATTAGAACGTTTAGAAATAATTGAACATTATTAATAGTCATTGAGGTGGGGGGGGGGGGTGTGAGGGTCTGGCTTTTTGTTAATCCCCCCCTCCCCTAAATCAGAAGGTTATCCAACGCGTGACCTGGCCACATACAGTTGTACATGTGAAAAACATTTTTCTCTCTATTATTATTATGCATTACTGCATCATTCACCCAATTGCCATGAAAACTTGGGAAGCTGTTGAGTACAGCCCCGCAAAGGTTTCTGTCATAGGCCTAACATTTGTACATATTTGAGTGGGGACTCCTAACGGAAATATGTGATTTAGCGCCCCGTGATCCTGCATAAGCGGATGAGGTTACTACTTGAATACAACTGGCGTCAGTGTCATCCTGAGCGCATCACATATGAGCAAGTTGGCCCCCACAGACAGTCGTTTAAAAGTTCCCACAACACTAGGAATAAGTCTCACTACTACACTCGATGACTAAATCTAATTAGGTTTCGCACCAATGTTTCTTCCAGGGTAGACTGTTTTCGGGGGAGGGGGGGGGGGGGTGAGCTCTGCCGGAAGAAACAACGTGTCACACCCATCACCCGTGCAGTAATGTAACCGGTAGCTCCAAGAGCCCCGTGACTCCCCTGACACCTGGGCCGTCGCCGAGGGATTTACAGCATGCCTTGGCGTGTCTAGTTGGTAGTGTGGACAAACCCGCGCCCTAAGATCCAAGAAATGAACTGCCGACATTGTTAACATTTAATTCAACTTCTGGAAAACAGGGCACACGGTTAGTAACGTTTTGATGAAAGCCTCAGTTTGGTGTGTTGGACTAGATTTAGAAAGGGGCCAGCTCGTGTGTTGGAAAACCTCTGATTTATTCGTGTACCAGATTTTTTTTAATTGAGAGCGAACCTTGTTTTATATATATATATATATATATATATATATATATATATATATATATATATATATATATATATATATATAGGGGCCCAAAAAAATTCTTCGGGGGGGGGGGCTTTTTTTCTAGTTCCGCCACTGATACACATGGATGACATGTTGTTGTGATTAGATTTAATTGAATTTTTTTTTTCAAAACCCGATCAGGCCAGAAATGAGTATCCTATGTTCGTATTGTGTGTTTTTATATATATATATATATATATATATATATATATATATATATATATATATATATATATATATATATATATATATATATATATATATATATATATATATATATATATATATATTTACATATATATTTACATATATGGGGGGCCCAAAAAAATTTTTGCGGGGTGGCCCATTTTTTCTAGTTCCGCCACTGCACAGTGGTGTGTGGTTGTTTAAAGCAACACAGTGGTGTGTTGTTGTTTAAAGCAACACAGTGGTGTGTGGTAGTTTAAAGCAACACAGTGGCGTGTGGTTGTTTAAAGCAACACAGTGGCCTGTGGTTGTTTAAAGCAACACAGTGGTGTGTAGTTGTTTAAAGCAACACAGTGGCGTGTGGTTGTTTAAAGCAACACAGTGGCCTGTGGTTGTTTAAAGCAACACAGTGTTGTGTAGTTGTTTAAAGCAACACAGTGGCGTGTGGTTGTTTAAAGCAACACAGTGGTGTGTGGTTTTTTTTAAACAACACAGTGGTGTGTGGTTCGCTGTTAGTGTACCATAAGGATTCGTATGGGTATCTATAGAAACTTCGTAAAAATATTGCTTCTATATGTCTGCCCGCTGTCCACACATCTGCCCCCTGTCCACACATCTGACCCCTGTCCACACATCTGACCCCTATCCACAAGTCTAACCCCTGTCCACATGTCCACACATCTGCCCCCTGTCCACACATCTGCCCCCTGTCCACACATCTGACCCCTGTCCACACATCTGACCCCTGTCCACACATCTGACCCCTGTCCACACATCTGACCCCTGTCCACACATCTGACCCCTGTCCACACATCTGACTCCTGTCCACATATCTGACCCCTGTCCACACATCTGACCCCTGTCCACACATCTGACCCCTGTCCACACATCTGACCCCTGTCCACACATCTGACCCCTGTCCACACATCTGACCCCTGTCCACACATCTGACTCCTGTCCACACATCTGACCCCTGTCCACACATCTGCCCCCTGTCCACACATCTGACCCCTGTCCACACATCTGACCCCTATCCACAAGTCTAACCCCTGTCCACATGTCCACCAGTCTGACCCCTGTCTACACATCTGACCCCTGTCTGACCCCTGTCCATCTACCTCCGTCCCCAGGTGTCTGGTTGAGGGCAGCTACGTGTACGGAGGTCCGACCTGCAGCGTGGTGGCCGAGAAGCTTAGCCTGGGCTCCAGTGAGATCATTGCTGTAGCTGTCAGTGTAGGGGGCGCTGCCATCATCCTCGTCATCATCCTCACTGTCTTCATCATGTACAGGAGGAACAGGAGGTGGGTTGTTGTGGGTCAGAGGTGGGTCGTCTGGGTCATAGGTGGGGTGTCTTGGTCATAGGTGGAGGTGGGTCGTCTGGGTCAGAGGGGGGGGGTTATCTGGGACAGAGGTGGGGGTGGGTTGTCTGGGTCAGAGGTGGGGGGTGGTTCAGAGGTGGGGGGGGGGGGGTTGTCTGGGTCAGAGGTGGGTTGTCTGGGTCAGAGGTGGGTTGTCTGGGTCAGAGGTGGGTTGTCTGGGTCAGAGGTGGGGGTGGGTCGTCTGGGTCAGAGGTGGATTACCTGGGTCAGAGGTGGGGGGGGGTTGTCTGGGTCAGAGGTGGGAGGTGGGTTGTCTGGGTCAGAGGTGGGGGGGGGTTGTCTGGGTCAGAGGTGGGAGGTGGGTTGTCTGGGTCAGAGGTGGAGGTGGGTTGTCTGGGTCAGAGGTGGTGGGTGGTTCAGAGGTGGGGGGGTTGTCTGGGTCAGAGGTGGGTTGTCTGGGTCAGAGGTGGGTTGTCTGGGTCAGAGGTGGGGGTGGGTCGTCAGGGGTGGGGGTGGGTTGTCTGGGTCAGAGTTGGGGGGTGGGTCAGAGGTGGGGGGGTTGTCTGGGTCAGAGGTGGGTTGTCTGGGTCAGAGGTGGGTTGTCTGGATCAGAGGTGGAGGGAGGTGGGTTGTCTGGGTCAGAAATGGGGGGTGGGTTGTCTGGGTCAGAGGTGGGTTGTCTGGGTCAGAGGTGGGTTGTCTGGGTCAGAGGTGGGAGGTGGGTTGTCTGGGTCAGAAATGGGGGGTGGGTTGTCTGGGTCAGAGGTGGGTAGTCTGGGTCAGAGGTGGGAGGTGGGTTGTTTTCTGGGTCAGAGGTGGGTTGTCTGGGTCAGAGGTGGGTTGTCTGGGTCAGAGGTGGGAGGTGGGTTGTTTTCTGGGTCAGAGGTGGGTTGTCTGGGTCAGAGGTGGGTTGTCTGGGTCAGAGGTGGGTTGTCTGGGTCAGAGGTGGGAGGTGGGTTGTTTTCTGGGTCAGAGGTGGGTTGTCTGGGTCAGAGGTGGGGGTGGGTTGTTGTCTGGGTCAGAGGTGGAGGGAGGTGGGTTGTCTGGGTCAGAGGTGGGAGGTGGGTTGTCTGGGTCAGAGGTGGGTTGTCTGGGTCAGAGGTGGGGGTGGGTTGTTGTCTGGGTCAGAGGTGGAGGGAGGTGGGTTGTCTGGGTCAGAGGTGGGTTGTCTGGGTCAGAGGTGGGTTGTCTGGGTCAGAGGTGGGAGGTGGTGTTGTCTAGGTCACATGAGGGAGGTGGGTTGTCGAGGTTAAGGTCAGAGGTGGGAGGTGGGTTGTCTGGGTCAAAGGTGGGTTGTCTGGGTCAGAGGAAGGAGGTGGGTTGTCTGGGTCAGAGGTGGGGGTGGGTTGTCTGGGTCAGAGGTGGGTTGTCTGGGTCAGAGGTGGGTTGTCTGGGTCAGAGGTGGGTTTTCTGGGTCAGAGGTGGGTTGTCTGGGTCAGAGGTGGGTTGTCTGGGTCAGAGGTGGGTTGTCTGGGGCAGAGGTGGGAGGTGGGTTGTTGTCTGGGTCAGAGGTGGGTTGTCTGGGTCAGAGGTGGGTTGTCTGGGTCAGAGGTGGGTTGTCTGGGTCAGAGGTGGGAGTTTGGTCGTCGTCTAGGTTAGACTGTGACAGAGTGGCCTAATATAACATAGCTGCGACATGCTGGCCTAAAAACATTGTGACAGACCGTCCTAATGTAACTCAATCATGACAGACAGACCTAGATTTACTGTGACTTCTCTGTTCCAGAGGTGATCTACTATCCGAAGAAGATGACCGGTCCGACAACCGGAACTCGGAGTTCAGAGAAGCCTCTCCTATCAGAGAGACAGATTCGCACATGGAGCAGGGAGAGTTCGACTTCTCCCCCCACAGGTTCCACATCCCCACCGTCAGGCTGCACCCACGCACCATGCCTGCTGACGTCAGAGATCTCCCGGCCCAGGAGTCTTTCCGGTACCCGTCAGGCAGAATACCCACGGGGTACGTTCACGGTCAAACACTGGGCGGGAATTCTGGGAAATTTTTCGGCGCCGCAGACGAGCCTGGTCCGTCTTTTGCACAAGCTGTGTCTACGGCGTACAACCCAAGGTCAAGGTGGCCGGACAGATCATCGACCTGGAGCGACGACTGACCAACGACTGACCAGAATAGTCTGCCTTTTGTTAATTAAGTAAACGATGCCTTATTGTTCATGTTTATTTTTGTTTTTTTTTATAATTTTGGTTTTTGCCATATTTCATATACAATGTAAATTTTAAATCCCAGTTACACTTTTCACTATATCACTCCAATATTACGTAATGTAATCCAAAACCTTAAACAAAAAAAATGAAAAACAATGATTATTTTCCATTTAGAAAAGTATTTATAATTAAACATCTTAATCAAAATCTAATTACCGAATTCTGCAAGTTCATTTTTCAATACGAAAAAATCTCGAAAAATTCTTGTCCATCTCAAACTCGGAATTTGACCTGAAAAAGTTTGGGGTTGTGTTAAACTACACGAGCATTTTACATATATTTTTACATGTGTATTGTAAATATTTTTAAACTCTTGTTAAATACGTTGTTAAAAATGAACGGTATTAATTATATAGCCATTAGCTTTCAAGTTATGTTCATAACGCTACAACAGAATTTTCTCGAATCTTCCATGTTGTATCTTATGATCCGGTGCTTCCCTCCCCCCCCCCCCCATGCCATCATCCCCTTACATATGTTGACGGTATTTCAAGTGATGTTCTTGTATGTATATGTTGATGTTTCAGTGATATGTACGACAGAATCAAACGTTGCTTCAGTTATGTACTCATTGCTTTGTTCCAACATTTCACATGGTAAATTATGTTTATTTTAAAAATCCCAAATTTAAAACAATTTCTTTCCTCAATTTCTAGCTTTGAAGCCCCACTTGCAATATATTTGATCAGTTGTTTTCGTTGAAGACCCCCCCCCCCCTTCCACTCCCCCCCCCCCCCACATGACATTGTTTCTGCAATCGGATCACGTATACCACTATTATGGCAACGGCACAAAGAATTCCATGAGCCTTCTTAATGTTAACCCCCCCCCCCCACCAGGCATATCTTCTACCGACCCCCCCCCCTCTCACCCCCCGAACAAAAATGGAATTTATATTGAAAATATATAGTTTTAACAGTGTCCGCCCCACCCCCCCCCCCCCGGAAAATTTTAGTCTCCTCCCCCCGAAAATTTCAAGTGCCCCAACCCCTGGAAAAAAAAACGTCTGGAAGAAACATGTTACTCTGTTAAACTTTATTTATTCACATAATTTGTACATTCCTTTTATCATATTGTGATACTTTACATTTTTACATGTGATTTTTGTCATGAAGAACGGGATGCACTTATAGTATACACATTTATCATAGTATTATATTTAATGAAACAAGGAATGTAACAGCATCTGTTGATATAATAAACCATACTATCACTGTACTAATAAATTGAATGCATTGTGTTTTTGCGTTATTGTAGTAACGTCACAGCTAATCTTTGTGTTTAACTTACAGTTTTATTTACAGTTCTACACAACAAATAATGTTAATTGAAGTTGAAACAATGAATGAAATATCCACAGTTGGAATAATTACACACACCCCTTACACCCCCAGTCACGCACCTCCTCACACCTGACTTACACCCCCACACACACACCCAATAACACACCTCTAATTACACACCCCTTACACCCCAATCACACACCCCCAATCACATAACCCTTCACACCCGACTTACACCCCCAAACATAAACCCCTTACACCCCCAATTACACACACCCCTTACACCCCCAATCACACACACCCAATCACACACCCCCAATTACACCCACAATCACCAGAGTTTCTTCCAGGCAAAGCCCCCCCCCCCCCCGAAATTTTTTACCGCCCCCCCCCCCCCCCGAACGAAATGAAATTTATATAGTTTATATAGAAACTATATACTTTTAACAGAGCCGGAGAAAAAAGTCTGGAAGAAACACTGACAATCACACACCTTGTATATCCGTCTAATCTCTCCCCCACAGTCTGTTAGCGGTATCAACAACAAGCATGGCTAAACCTGATTCATCGTTTACACAGTCCTTCAGTAGACCAGGTATTTATCCCTTCCAACCAATTTCACTACAAATTTAATACAAAGACAGTACATCCAAAGTACTTTCTTACACATATTATCTCTTTACATGCCAAGGTCACAGAAAAGGTGAACTCTACTCCACATACAGTACTGACTTCGAGTCGATAATGCGCGTTTATTTATCAGTAATCTTTATGTTACTTCTTGGTTAAAACATGAATTTGTCGACATTCTTGAAGCACCAGGAAGTACAGTAGTCTGTGTGGATTAGTCTCATATCCGCTAATACGCTATCTTGTAATGTAACCTTTTGATGTCAACGTAAATTGCTAAGCAGAATTTCTTTCAGGCATCTCTTCAGGGGGCACTCTCCCCCTCCCCTTAAGCCTACCGCAGCGCCAACCCCCTTCCCCACGAAATAAAATAAATTGTATAGAATATATATATATACTTTAAACACTAACCCTCCCCCCTACTTGAAAATTTAGTCCGCCCTACCCCTCTACGGAAGTTTCAAGTTCCCCCGCCCCCCGAGGAAAACAGAAAGAAACACTTTTTTAGCTTCTTCACCAAAGTCTTAAGTGGAAGCCCATGTTAACTTACAAGAAGGACGTCGGTGGTTTCTTTTATCGACACAAAATCCGGGTACACATCTGGGCTGAGTCAGCTCTGGTGTTCACTCCCCCTCTCCCCGCCACTCCCCTCTCAATCAGGACGTAACTCCTGTAGTTACGTCCCCTGTAACACGTCACACGCCACACACATTACTCACATCTGAGACTTAAGATATAGCTTAAACAATTGCCCAACGCTAATGCGTCCAAATCCATGTTTTATATTCGTTTAATCCAAGATGAAATCCGCTTTTGACGGGTGTGTTTTTTACTGCTTACCACTTA